CACTGAGCCAAACCGGGTAGGGCATGCCTCAGTTTCTTTGTCCATAAAATGGGACAGTAACAGCACCCACCTCATGGGCATTCTAAGGATTAAACAAGTTGCCATGTGTTTATAACAGCCTCTGGCCGTGGTGTTAGCACCTCCCATCAGGGTCTGACTGACATGCTCCGTGTTTTGAGGGGGATTTGAAGAGCATTGTTCTCCATTTTCCTCAGAAGGGCTGCCCACTCAGCCTTTGCCTTCTTATCAGAGGCTCCCCTCCTCCTCAGGAACTCTGCTTTCTCTGTCTCAGGCCTTGGAATGCAGTTTAAGGATGAAGAGGACACACAGATGAAAACAGAATGGGACCGAGTGCTGTCGGCTCGGTGCAGGGGTCCCAGCTCCCCATTCCTAGGTCACAAACCGGCCCCCGTCAGGGGGTTGACCAAATCTGAGCAACTTCTGGAAAGAGGGGGGCCCTCCAGGGTGGCAAAGCCATACATGTGCCCCGAATGCGGCAAAGGCTTTAGCAAGACGTCCCACTTGACCAAGCACCAGCGCATCCACACGGGCGAGCGGCCGTACCAGTGTCCGGTGTGTGGGAAGGGCTTCAGCGACCGCTCCAACTTCAGCACCCACCAGCGGGTCCACACGGGCGAGAAGCCCTACCAGTGTGCCGAGTGTGGGAAGCGCTTCAGCCAGAGCTCCAGCCTGGTCATCCACCGCCGGACACATACCGGGGAGCGGCCCTACGTGTGTGCCGAGTGTGGGAAACGCTTCAGCAACAGCTCACACTTCAGCGCCCACCGCAGGACGCACACAGGCGAGAAGCCCTACACATGCCCGGCCTGTGGCCAGGGCTTCTGCCGGGGCACCGACCTCCACAAACACCAGCGGACCCACAATGGGGAGAAGCATCCACATAGCGATACCAAGAGGGTGTAGCCACTACCCAGACCCTCGAGGCTCCAGGAGTTCCCAGGACCAAAGCCTGACTACCATGCTCAGTTCATGAAGCTGCCAGAGTCATTCCCCAGAACCGGAAACGCTGACCTTAAGGCACCTTCACATGGACTCTGCTCCCCTGGGCCTGGTGTGAGGACACAGCAGGGGACATTTCAGGTGGAATGCTGGGCACAGGGCCCGGTGTATTCGGTTCCAGGGCTGCTGCATAAATGACCACACACTGGCCGGCTTACAACAACCGGAATTAATCTGTCCGTCCTGGTGTCTACAGCACTGGTGTCCTCTGGAGGTTCTGGTAGAGAATCCTGTGCCTCTTCCACTTCCCCTGTGGCCCACAGACCGATGATCCTGGGCTTGTGGCAGCATCACTCCGTGGCTGCGTCTGTCGTCACACGGCCTTCTCCCTGTGTCCTCTCCTCTTCTAAGGATATAGTCATTGTATTTACTGGCCTCCCTGAATGACCTCATCTTAACTAATTACATCTACAATGTCCCTATTTCCAAATAAAGTCACATTCTGAGGTTCTGGTTGGACTAGAATTTGAGGGACACTTTCAAAACACTGCAGGGGAAGCTGCAATGGCTACAGTGGCTTATGGAATTACATACCCCAGCCTTCCCCTCCAACCTTGCTACACTTTCTAAATGTAGGTGGTGGGGGTTTTTCTTACATTCCAGTGGTGTCAACGAGGAAGTGGGGTGCCTGACTGGGTGGCTTAGAAGTGGTTGAGCATTGACCTATGAACCAGGAGGCCTCGGTTCGATTCCTGGTCAGGGCACATGCCCAGGTGTGGGCTCAGTCCCCTGGTAGGGGTCATGCAGGAGGCAGCCGATCGATGATTCTCATTTATGTTTCTCTCCCCCTCTCCCTTTCTGAAATCAATAAAAATAAATTTTTAAAAAGGGAGATGGGGGTGATTTGGGTGTTACCTTTGAAGATCCAGTTTCGTAGGATGGATGCCTGACTCCATCTCCAGACCTCCCCAACCCATGAGGAAGCCTGGGGATTTGACTGGCCCTGCCATCCTCCCAGGGTAAGGGTCCAGGGCTGCCTCTGCGCCAGCCCCAAGTGGCCGTGTTCCAGGATACAGGCCAGTCTTGGTTGCCCTACTTTGTCTGAGGCAGGCATGCCTCTTTATATCCACGGTCTCATGAGTGGCTGAGGGAAGAGGTATAGAGTCCTTGTCCAGTTTAGTCATCTCTGGAGTCATAGGGCAGCTGCTGAAGTCACTGGTTCTAGAATATTTTATCCAGAAGTGTGACTGTTCCTTATTACTGGGTGGCGTTGGCTCTCATGCTAGTTCTTGATGCTCCACTGTTTTGTCACTTAATTGCTGTATACATTTTCACCTTTCTACACAACCCAGGTTCCAGGGCGTATGACAGTTCTCCCTTAATAAATTGTCAGTCCTCCTCCCAGCCCCATTGTGCTCTGTCCTGCATATTCGCTGGAGAATGGGGTCGCCTAGTTTAAAGATGGTTTTTACCTTCTAGGCCAGCTTCCAGAGCTCTCGTAGGACACGTATACCCAGCCAGATCCAGCTGGTCCAACACTGCCGACAACCCGCCCCCACATACACACAGCCAAGAGCCCCAGCTCACTTCTCTCAGGCCCCGCCTGGTGCCGGAGGAGGCTGTCCTCTTCCTGGTCTGATAGATGGGCCCATCACGTGCCTGTCCATGATATGGAACATGCAGTGCTATGATGTAGGACCTTTCATTAGTCTTTTATAGATGGGGAAACTGAAGCCATGAGACCTCTAAGAATCTTATCCAAGTGGTGGAACAGGCTTTCAATCCAGGTGTAAACTCCCACAGCCTCATCCAGCTTGCTTTGACAGAATAATTCAAAGTTGAACTTGGAACAAAGTTTCTTTTCTATTACTGTGAAACACCCTAAATGAACTTACTGGCATTAAAAGGGGTAGAGATGGGGGAAATGGGGTTAAAGGAAAAAAAATGGCCTTTGCTCTTGACAGCTAGGCTGGCAGCACAGGTGGAGGTGTGTAGCACTGAGGCTGCCCTGTCCTGTGTGTGCCCCAGAACTGAGGGTGTGGGGCCTCCACAGGTGGGACAGGGCTTGGGGACCCCAGGCAACAGCAACCTGCCACCTTTTCTGCAGGAACGTCTCCTTGGGGGTTCCTATGGCCTTGTGGAAGCCCCTGTTGCATCTGGCTTCTAATGAAAATGCCCTTCATTGTTGTGAGTGGGGGCTGGTTGTGGGAACCCTGTGGCCAGATAGTAGTGTCTGTGGCCCTGATCGTGACTTCCTGTGGCTGGCTGAGGCCCTGCAGGGCCTGTCTTGCGTGGTGCAGAGCTAAATGGGAAGAGACCCTTGCCCACCCTCAGCAGATGGCAGCCAACTGTGACCCTAGCTGAGTGCTGGAACATGCACCCAAATGCCAAGGACCCTGCTGGACCACCCCAGTCCACAGCATGGGAAGACCCCAGATGACTTTCCTGCTCTACCCATGGGCAGGCGAGGAGTGGGGTGGGAGACTGACGAGCAAAATCTTAGAAACAAGTTGGGGAGGGAATAGAGGTGCCATGTATCAGGGCTTCAGCCTGTTATGAAGGGACTATGAAAATGAGGGTGGGGGGTGGAGGATAATGCTTGCAAAGAAACAGGGTGAGAGACTCGGGAGTTCCTCAGCTCTTGCTGGCTCTCCACAAGGATACCTTAGGAAATGAGGACAGTTTTGGGTGTTGGAGCATTCAATATTCTCTCTGTATTTAAAGGCCAACTTCACCTTTAGTTTGGAATAACCGTAGAACCTCTATGTGCCTTTGTGTCTTAAAGAAAAAAGAGAAATCTCAAAAGTTCATTTAGTGTGTGTGTGGTGTGGTAAGTACACAAACTAGCGAGTATCCAGGGACCCAGAAAATCAGGCTAAATTCTCTTTCAAGACCCTTTCCACCCTGAAAGTCTGTAAGTATGTTTTTACAGTTTTTAAAAGGACCTTGTATGATGAAAATAACAGATGTACATCAATGGAAAAGATACAGAAATGGACAAAGATGTATAGGCTCGCAGCTCATCAGAACAAAACCATTGTCTTCATGGGCTTTCCTTCCAGGTCCTCTCAGAGGAGTAGGGTCACCTGAGTTGTCTTCATGCTGTACAGTGTATAAGTTCGTGCTGGGATCTCTGCTGTAAATGCATTAAAATGTTCTGACCAAATTCTAACAGAGAGCTAGGTGACGGGTCCAGTCTGAGAGGCCCTGCACTGCAAAAACACCTGCTAACGGAAACGGGAGAGTGAAGGGACCATCAGACCTGGGTGTGTTGACTGAGTCAACCCATCCCAATAACCTCCCCAGATCCAGTCCCAGAGGCATTTACAGTTGGCCCAGAGGAGATACCAGGGCCTCTGACTATCCCTGGCCCAAGAGGGTCCCCGAGGGCCCCAGGACTTCCTCCTGAGTGTCTGGCCAGGGCATTGTGCCTGCCTCAGAGTGTTACAGGTTGCTTCCTTCCAGCCCCAGATCCAGCTGGATCTTCAGGAGCCTTCTTGCTCCTAGGAACCTTGTTGGCAGGCCACTGGGGCTGAGCCATCCCCTTCCGAAAGGCCCTGAGCTGCTGGAGAAGCTGGCTTTTCCCAGTACAGTCCCTGTAACACAGAGAACCACCTCAGTCAATGCCAAGTGGAGGCCAAACCTCCCAATGCTTCGCCACTGAAACGGCACACACAAAGCCAGTGCTTCCAGGAGCATTTCCCTTGTTCTCAAGATGTAAATAAATGATTGCAGCTTCCCGCCCTTGAGAGTCACAATTCATGTCATCGTGTTAAACATGTCTGGGATGAAGCCCATGTGACCTTTCTCAACCCAAATTTTCTTCCCTCTTTTTTCCTATAATGCTTGATCATGGACCAGAGTATGGGAAAAGTTGCATTAGACTGACATTCTCAAAGGATAGGATCAGCAAGCTTTCCAGTTCCAAAAATGGACACTGCTACAGCATGATTGTAACTCGCCAGTGACAACAATGTCCCTCCCGCCCCACAAGGAGACTTGCCCCACAACCCCCACTCCCCCGCCCGAAGGAGACTTGCGCCTTCTCTAAATTTGACATTTCACATCTTAATTCACCCAGGCCTTTTATCACTTTACTCTGTACTTTCTCTTCACTTCCACTGCCATCACCAACTGGGGGCGAAATCAACTTGGGGAGCTGTCTTTCAGAGCAGCTAAGGCATCCTTGGTGATGACTGGGAACAACAGCCAGGCTGAGATGGTACTGGGTCCCAGGTGGGCTCCCAAGACTACCCTCTCCACCTCCCCAGACCCCCCCACACCCTCATGTGCGGGCTTGGGTGCAAAACATAGAGCTGAAAGCACAAACATTAAATGTGCCAGGCCAAGGGCTTGTGCGGAAGCAACAGGGAGCAGCCCCAGGCAGCAGGAGCCCGTAGTGGTTACCATAGCCCCCCTGGGCCTTGCCAGTCTCTCCGAGCAGCTGTCTCCTCTTCCCCTGCCTCCTCGCTGTCAGAAGAGCTGGAGCTGGAGCTGGAGCCGGAGCTGAAGCTGGGGCAGAGGAAACGAGGGTTTGCTAGATGTGTCCCAATCCACCCTGACCAGGCCAGGCTCCTACCAGGACTTGGAGTGTCCAGGCCTCCCTGGTAACCCAAGGCAGGAGGATGGGCAGGCCAGCCAAAGCCCAACCAACCCAAACCAAAGGGCCACTGGGCTTCCTGCCAGGTGGTAGAGGGAAGCACCCCAGGGCGATGTACCCCGCCTAGACTGTTTGCTTAGACCTAGAAAGATTGCTGTCTGCCTCTGCTTCCTCCCTCTCTGCTGGGAGAACCTCCTGAGGACCATGTGGGACTGTTGGCTCCTGTCTAAGAGCACTTAGCTGAGCGGTGCTCCCAGGACATGCCCATGCCCACATCTTCCCATCCCTCGAAGGCTCTGTTCCCCTCCAGGCCAATGTGTCATCCACAAAGCAGTGGGTTTGCTGCAGGATTGTCATTGCTCTCTGTACCTTTCCAATGCCCCCTGGTCTGATGGCTCTGTGGGCCTCAGATCGAGGAAGATGGTGGGAGGCTCCGCTGGGTTCCTTTGCCGACGCTGACTCAGCTCCACCAAAGCACATCTGAGATGAGAAGAGCAGGGGTGCTGAGTCACTTCTCAGTGATTACAGGGGACCTGTTGCTAGGCTACTGGCTGCCACTGACTGAGCGCCTACTGTGTGTGGGGCACTGAGGAGGACCTATCAATGAATTATTTTACTCTTCAGAACAACCCTTAAGATTTAGGCCTGTGCCATCCAATAGATCTTTTTGTGATGATTGAAATATATCTGTGCTTTCCATTGAGGTAGCCACTTGCTGCAATTTACATTTAGGCTAACTAAAATTAAATTAATACAATAAAATTAAAAATTCAGTTTCCCAGTTGCCCAGGCCATATTTCAAGGGCTCAGTAACCACATGTGGCCAGTGGCTACAATTGAACAGTGCAGGTCTAGACATTTCTGTTGACACTTTGGATTGCCAGGGACAGAAACCACTCCAACTAACTCAAGGAAAAAGGGAATCATTGGCTCTCAGATTCTTAAAACGAGTGGAACAACCCAAGTGTGGGAAGGGCAGGGATACCACTGGGCCCTGTCCCAAATCTCTGCTCCTCTCCACTCCGCAGCTTCAGTGTTTTTCACCACAACTGGCCTTTCTCCTCCCTCTCACCTCTACCCAGATACCGGGGTAAAAATTCCCAAGGAAAGGCTCTAATTGGCCTGGTTGGGGTCAGCTATTCAGGGCTGGCTAATTAACAGAGGCCAGAAGACCAGGACCCTATGCCCCTGGAAGACCATGTGGATGGTGAAGGGAGGGTTTCCATGGGGTGGGGGAAAGAGAGGTGCTTTGGGGCTTGAGTCCCAGCTTTGCTACATATGACCTGGGTAAGTCAATATCTCTAAGCCTCAGTTTCTCCATCTATGAAATGGAGATCATAGTAGCACCTACTTGATCAGATTTTTTTAGATGAAATGAGAAATATGCATCAAGTGCCCCATCCACAATAGGCTGCCAGGCTGGGGCCAGTTGTAAAGAGGACAGGGCCATGACTGGCAAGAAGTCCCACCTGCTTCTGGCCTCCAGCTGCTCATTGTCCGGGCGCATGTCTGCAGGCACCTTCCAGGCAGAGGAAGAGGCTCTGAATTGCTTGGCACATAGGAGGGTGAGCTGTTCCATGAGCCTGTCCTGGGCGCTGGGCTCGGCATGATCTGACCAGAGAGTAAGGGAGGCTGACTAACGGGGACTTGGTCACTGACTTACAGATGCCTGACCCCTCATGTGGACGAACCTCCAGCTTGTACATGGAGAAGTGAGGGGGCCTGGGAGGCCCTGCCCCACCCCTTTGGTATCCCACATCCACTCAGGAGGGCTGGGGGAGACAACTTCAGGAGCAGAGAGACAACTCATTGGGGTGACTTCTTAACACTTTATCCCACTCCCTAGTTCCACTTGTGTTCACTTTAAAAAAATAGCAATTGGATTATCCTCTGTAGATTTTTTCGATGAATATATTACATCTTTCCAAGTTAGTGTATACAGACTAACACTGCAGATTGTTCTGTGGTTTAACAGATTTAGCTAGACTCCTATTGAATATGACACTAAATATGGGTTGCTTTCAATTTTCACAATTGTAAACAAACTGCAACAGAGATGAACATGCTTGAATACATATCTTTACCCACCTATGTGAGTATGTGCTGGATAGACTTTAGAAGTGGAATAGCTTGATCAAAGGCTTATATGCCTTTTAAATAGAAAATATTCTGCCACATTGTCCTCAAAAAAGGGATACTAATTACAGCCCCCACTCTCACCCCACCTTATAGGGTTTCTCCACAGCCTGCTAACAGGGGCTAAATTACAAACAAAACCTTGTTAAAAACAGCACAGGGTTATTAGCCCCAGAAGAGCATTCACTCTGAACTGGAGGCCTAACTGAATGTTCTGGTTTCTTTGCCTCAGACCTTCCTCCACTCACCTTTACGGGCCAGGCCTCGAGGGGATGGGGAGCTTTTGTTTTATTTACAGAACTAGAGGCCCAGTGCACAAATATTTGTGCACTCGGGGGTCCCTCAGCCCGGCCTGCGCACTCTCGCAGTCTTTTGTTTTATTTACAGAACTAGAGGCCCAGTGCACAAATATTGGTGCACTCGGGGGTCCCTCAGCCCGGCCTGCGCACTCTCGCAGTCTGGGACCCCTCAAAGGATGTCTACCTGCCAGCTTAGGCCCGATCCCCAGGGGCCTAAGCTGGCAGTCAGACATCCCTCTGGCAGCCTGGGAGCCCTCGGGGAATGCCAGCTGCACTTAGGCCCGCTCCCCTGCAGCTGCCTCTGTGGAAGGGAGGGCACCGGGACCGCCATGGCTGGCCGGGCAGCGCAGGCTTGCTGACCTCCCACCATCTGATCTAATTAGCATATTAGCTCTTAGAATTGCCCACAGCAAGGCCACAAGTGCACTGACAGTAATCAACATCCCTGGTTTTCTTTTGTAAACAGGGAGGCAGTAGAAGCAGGATTGTGTTTAGAAGCTGGCTGAAGAAGTGCCAAAGGCAGGATTACTTTCCACCCAGAAGGAAAGAGAGGGAGGCTTCAGGTGGTGGGTAAAAGGAAAAGGTGAAAGTCAAGGGCAGGGACTACTTCTGAAGGGCTCTCTCTCGTATCCCCAGGGCCTGGTCTATGCCTGGCACATAGCAGGCAGTCACATATAGTGAATGAATGAGTGAATGAGTGAGTGAATAAATGAAGTCTTTCAAGGACTGGCACGTGAATGTTCAAGACAGTGAGGGTTGAGCAGCAGAGAGGACATGGTGGGCTTCAAGGCTGGCTGTATCCAGCCCATGAACCTATTTTATTGAGAGGCCCTGGAAGGAGCTGCTGTGGAGATGCCCTTGGGCCCTGGTGTTTAACGTCAGACCTGGGCCCTGGAAGTGATCAGCTGCCCACCACACTCCTCTAGGTGCTCCATCTCCCCGGTCGTCTTCTTGTCCAGCCAGACTCTGAAGGATGTGATCCAAATCCCACTCTTCAAGTGGCTGAAATGATTTAAAGTGGAGATTATTACAAGGCTGCCGCAGGGTGCCGGGAGCAACAGAGGCTGGCGTGGGATGTCCTGGAGTAGGAATCAGGACTTGGAGGCATGCCCACATTTGCAGATGGGCCTTACTCATCCACCCTGTGTGGGCTGCAGAGTGAACCGCCAGGAATCTGCACCTCTTTCCTGTGCCTTTTCGGTTAATACTTCTGTGTCTGGCACAAAGGTATACTTTGACCTGGAGAAAACCTGGTGTCTTTTTAACACTTTGTAGGTTCGTACAGGTTTAAAACATTGGAAGGTTAAAAGGTTTTGCTCTTAAGAAACAGACTGTGCCCAGCCAGCGTTGCTCAGTGAACCAGGAGGTCATGGTTCAATTCCCGGTCTGGGCACACGCCTGTGTTGTGGGCTCAGTCCCCAGTGTGGAGTGTGCAAAAGGCAGCCAATCAATGATTCTCTCTCATCATTGATGTTCCTATCTCTCTCTCATTCCCTTCCTTTCTGAAATCAATAGAAAATATATTTAAAAAAAGAAAAGAAACAGATAATTTCAGGCAGGTGCTGAAAACTGGATGCTGTGGGGGCAGAGTTGGTGTGATCAGAGGAGGGAAATTAATCAGGAATGAATGTTTCTTATGTATGACCTTGCTACCCCTTGCAGCCCTGTAGGTGAATGAAAATAAAAGTCTCTCTCAGTGAACTGAAAGAATGGAATTGATAAGAATGGAATTTGTGAAAATGACCTCCATGAACACCTTGATGACATGGTTCCCTAAGTTGTTAAAAAAAATTGTCCAAATTTGTAAATAAAGCAAAATAGAGAATTGCATGACCTTTCAATGTCATGCTGGAGCTTTTCTAAGAAGCTCACCTTCCTAGGGGAGGTTGGTTTGCACAACTGATCAGGGCCCACCCGTTTTACCACTTTGTAAAACTGAGAAAGTGCAATGGTACAGTAGAGAAGATAGCCCCAAAGGTATCAGTTCGGTTGCCGGGTAGGATGTTGACTGATTTTACACTTAATGTAGCAATTTTATCTCAGCATTCAATTCTTTTCTTCCAATGCCTTACAAAATCCTAGTCTCTCATAATCTCTTTAAACTGCTTTTGCCATCCTGCTGGTTCCCTCATTCATGAGCAAAATCCAGTGTTAACAGGTATTCACCATTTGTATGAGAATGGGAGCTTTAATGTTTGAGAATTATGCTTTGACAGAATCTGTTCTCTATTTTTTAAATTATTTTATTACTTATCTGTTTGTTTTTCTTTCTTTTTTAAAAAAATATATTTTTATTGTGCAACCAAGGTACGTGCTCTTGACTGGAATCGAACCCGGGACACTTTGGTCCGCAGGCTGATGCTCTATCCACTGAGCCAAACCAGCTAGGGCTCTGTTTGTTTTTCAACATCATTTTTAAAAATCCTCACCTGAGGGTATTTTTCCATTGATTTTTAGAGAGAGTGGAAGAGAAAGGGAAATATCAATGTGAGAGAAACATCGATTGGTTGCCTCTTGCATGTGCCCTGCAGCCTGCATCTGAGGTACATGCCCTTGACTGGAATCGAACCCGGGACTCTTCAGTCCACAGGCTGACGCTACACTCTATCCACTGAGCCAAACTGGCTGGGGCTCTGTTCTCTATGTTATATGCAGTTGTGTGTCTTTATAAACATGCTTGGGATTTTAAGAAGGCTGGAGTCTCCTTACTCTTCCTTGTTTTTGTTAACTCTACCTGAGGATGGTTTGTCTGCCAGCACGGCACAAAACCTGAGACAGGTATGACAGCCTGTCTGCCAGTGGTCAGGGGACCATGGGCCTAAGGTCGCTGCTGTAGAATGAATATTGGTGCCCCTCCCAAATTGATATGTTAAAATCCTAACCCCCAAAGTGGGGGTTTGGAGGTGATGCCTTTGGGAGGTGACGAGGTCATGATGGGGGAGCCTCATGAATGGAACTAGTGTCCTCATAAAAGAGCCCCAAATCCCTTCCATCAAGTGAGGACAAAGTGAGAAGAGGGCAGGCCCTTACCAGACACAGAATGTGCCGGTGCCTGGATCTTGGATTTTGTTATAGCAGCTCCTGCAGATTAAGACAGGTGTAATGGGCCAGCCCTCAAGTTGGCCTATGACCACTACAGGTCTAGAGACCACTACAGGTCACACCCTGAGGATGCACAGGGCAAGGGAGCTGCCTACCTCGAGGGAGAGCACTGGCAGGCCTTCCCGGGGCCCCTGTGATGACGTTCCTGGTCTCGGACCTGTGGATGCAGATTCACAGGGTGTCTCCTTCACTTGGCTGTGGTCACTGCAGGTAGGGCCCCTGGCACCCCAGGTGACTTTATGAAGTAAGTCTCTCTCGATCATCTTCCTTCTCTCTTTTCGGAGGGTTCTCCGGTTTGCAGAGTCTGAGCCCTTCTGAACACAGGGGACAGCATTTGGGTCCATCCTCAGGTCTTCTTCTGAGAGACAGAGGGTGGCTTCTCCCTGCGGCCCCCAAGGAGGACTCGGGGATCCTTTGGTGTTGAAAGACATGTCTCCAAGGTCACCTTCCTGCCATGTGGGGGTCTCCTCAGGCATCCTAAGAGAGCTGCTCTCACCACCACTCTCCAAGGGCTGGCCAGGGTCCTTTCCTTCCTTCATCCTGACATTCCATTCACCCCAGGGCTCTGCTGAGAACTCCACAGGTACCACCAGGGGCTATTGAGAAAACAGGTGTCCTCAGTTAGCAGCCTCAAAAACATACTTTAGGGAAGTTTTTTTTAAATTGTGGCATGTCTATAACAAACTTTGTCATGGTAAATATTTTTAAATGTAAAGTTCAGTGGCATTAAATACATTAAATACATTCATAATGCAGTGCAGTCATCACCATTGTCCATTTTCTAAGCTCTTTCATTCTGTACCCCTCCCCCCCAAAAATCCAGAAACTCTATACCTCCACTTGTCTAGCCCTGGTAAACTCTAATCTACGTTCTGTTATAAACTTGTTGTCTATTCTAGATATGTCAATATACACTGTCTGTTCTGTTGTGCCATTTCATTTAGCTCAGTTTCCAAGGTTCATCATGCTGTAGCATGTGTCAGTACTTTATTCCTTTTAGTGGACTGAATAATATTCCACTGTATGGATAGACTACATTTTCTTTATCCATTCATTCACTGATAGACATTTAGACTGTTTCCATTATCTTGCTTATTGTGAATAATGCTGCAATGAATATGGAAATGCAAATTCTCTTCAAAATCTGTTTTTGTTTATAAAAATGTTTTCCTTGATTTTGTTTTTTTAAGAGAGAGGAAGGGAGAGGGATAGAGAGATAGAAACATCGATGAGAGAAAAGAAACATCATGATCAGCTGCCTCCTGCAGGCCCCCTACTGGGGATTGAGCCCAAAACCCAGGCATGTGCTCTGACCGGGAACTGAAATGGCTGGCTAGCTCAGTTGGTTAGCATATTGTCCTGATATGCCAAGGTTGTGGGTTTGATCTCCGGTCTGGGCACTTACAAGAAACAACCAATGAATCCATAAATAAGTAGAACAACAAACTGTTATTTCTCTCTCCCCCACCCCCTCTGTCTCTTTAAAAATCAAGAAAAACAGCCAGGCGTGGCTGTGTTTGAGCGTCGACCTATGAACAACGTTCGATTCCTGGTCATGGCACATGCCCAGGGTTGCGGGCTCAATCCCTGGTGTGGGGCATGCAGGTGGCAGCCGACCAATGATTCTATCTCATCATTGAGGTTCCTATCTCTCTCTCCCTCTCTTTTCCTCTCTGAAATAAATAAATATATATGTGTGTATAAACACACACACACACACACACACAAATAATTTAATTAATT